CTCCTGGGCTCGCTTTTCCCCTCGAAAAATGAAGTTGGAGGAAAACAAAATAAATAACCGATTTTGTGTTTTGCAGCGAAGAAAATGTTTGGAAGCTTTGTGACTACATCAGGAGTCAGGATCGGTACCCTTTAGAAGAATTTTACGCTGTTTTCATATCCAATGATAAGAGGATGGTGAGTCAATGGGATGTGATCAGAGACAGGTGTGGAAAGGCTCGGGCCTGCAGAGCGCAGCCCGGTGTGGGTGAGAATGGTCCCAGCCCAGTGCCGGGGAGTGAGCCTTTAGCCCAGCCTGTAGGTGAGATTCAGTCCAAACCCGTCCTGCAGCTCGCTCTGGCTCAGAGGTGTGCCAGCCGCACCACATGAGATCTTTTAATTATGCACTGCATTCAGAACGGTGGAATAAAGCATGTGAGCTGTTGGAGTAATTCTGTCTGTAATCTGTCAGTTTAGGAGAATAGTTATCTTTATAAAATCATAGAACCATCATAATAACCGTAAGGTTGGAGAAGACCTCTAAGACCATCAAGTCCAACTGTTAACCTGACACCACCACGTTCACCACTAAACCACATCCTCAAGTCTTTTGGATGTTTCCAGGGATGGTGATTCCATCACACTTCTTTTTAATGTAGCCCATAATAGTATCTCCAATTTCATCCTCCTGAGAGAGAAACTAGAAAAAAGCTTTCATACTGCAGCACAGATGTAAGCTGAGGAAACTGATAGGTTAGCAAAAAATGAACCAGTTTACCTTAAATTAATCTGTATTAATCTGAAAGATTTTATTCACTTCAGGTTCATTTATAACTTTCAGATTCCACTCTGGAAGCAGAAGTCTGGACATGGAGATGAGCCTGTTGTCTGGGTAAGGCATTCATTACTCTCAATAATTTTGAGTGTGTGCCTCTATAGTTGATAGCTGTAGGATCACACATGGGCATGTAAAAATCTGTTCTGTCTGAACATAGAGGAACACTTTCTACTGAGGGTGGTGGAGCTCTGGAGCAGGTTGCACAGAGGGGTTGTGGAATCTCCATCCTTGGAGATGTTTAGAAGCTCTCCAGACACAGTCCTGGGCAGTTGGCTTGAGGAGAATCTCATTGAGCAATAGGTTGGACCTTTTAAAGTCCCTTCCAACTCCACACATTGCATAGTTTTGCATTAATATTTACAATTTTTTTACAACAGATTTATAATTAGCCTAAATCCAATGCTCCTTTGCACCATCCCTCATAAACTAATAGCAGGACAGTCCGTAAAACCAATAAGTGACAAGTCTTAATTATAGTAAGAATGCTTAATAGATTTGTGAAAATTATTATCTGGGTATTGATACTGCCAGCTCTGTAGTGTTGTGGGTAGATGACTCTATTTGTAAGAAGTAGATGGATGAACATATTTATGTAGGCCTGCCAGATGATAGAAAAGTGTAAGTTATGTGTGTATTCAGGTTAAACTGACCCATAAACAGTGGCTTTGAAATGTCATTTGATCAATATAGTTCAATATAGATCAATATAGATCAATGTAGTTCAGTAATTGCTGGTGCAGAATTCCTTGGTATCATTATAGGGTCCTTTCAGTTACCTGGCACAGAAAAAAACTATTTCCTATTTCTTGTGGCAATTTCTGTTTCTGAAATTCTGCAGAGTAATCTGCAAACATGTGAAGTTTTCTGATTTCTGAATCACTCACTTTCTTCCAAAATATTGGTAGCTTTACAGTACAAAAAAAAAAGAAAAAAAAGTTTGGTTTAAAAAGAGATCTGAGGGCTACAGAGAAGACCTAAAAGGGAATAGCACAGTCAGGAAAGGCCATGGCAGAATGTGGATTTCTCCTAAAAATTCATGGATTCAAAGGTCTTTTAACTTTGACATTTCAATGGATCATAGGTTGTATAAACCCTGTAAACTAATTTTTCTTATACTCTCTAATAGGTTTTTCTAAACAGTTGTGTATGTATATTGGTCTAGTGAAGTACATTGCCCAAATCTTTTTCATTCAAATTTCTTTGTGGTTTTAATATTGAGAGTGTCAAAAGACAGTGCTCAACCCTTTTTGTGAGTGGATTCAATGTAAGTTTAAGTAAGTTGTTAAGGGCTACCTTCAATTTAATTTTGGAAAACAGCAGTGCACACACCAGATGTGTAATGTCAGTAACTGCAGTGTCCTCAAATCTCCTCCTGTGTTTCTTACAAGGTAAGGAGTAAAACTGCACTGCATAACCCCTAGATAAAGTAGTTGCCTGGAAAAAGTGTGATGTAGGTATTTTTTCCCAGCTTCAAGAGCTGCTAGAGGAAATTGTCTCACTCCTGTGGTCCTCCTGATCTGAGCTGTTTGCTGGTTTTTCAGTGGTGTGCTGGTTTTTCAGGTGCTTCTGGCAGCTGAACACTCGACACTCAAATTCACAGGCCGTGTTACTGCAACAGGTACAAAGTCTCTTATTAGAAGAGATCACTAGGTAAATTTAATGTTAACCTATCATTTTATCTTGTGAGTTAATTTATGACTGAGTCTAATAAAAAGTGATAACCGAACAACTTTTGTGGTTTGGTGTGGAACATGAGAGAGATTTTCTGTTTTCTTGGGAGTAAGAAACACTTACTCAAACTTACTTCAAACACTTTAGTTTGCTGTCTTGGCTTAAAGGAGGCTGCAGAGAAATGGGGAGAATAGCAAGGTTTCTGGAGGAGCAGATGGGCAAGATGGACGCTAGGAAATCTCTCTCCTGTTGCCAGAAATTTTACAGGCTTAATATTCAAGGACAGCAAGCAGGCTTTAAAAAATGAATCTGAACTTATGCTTTTAGGAAAATAATTTTTTTTTTCATTCTCTTTGCCAGTTTTTTATTAATTAATGGCAATTCCCTTTCTTCCCAGGACTACCACGTTATTCTGCTTCATCTTTGCAGCGGGGAGCAGAGCTTCATTTATGATCTGGACACAGTGTTGCCCTTTCCCTGTCCTTTCCATGTGTACAGTGTGGAGGCCTTCAGGTTGGATGACAGCCTGCGGCCGGAGTTTCACAGGTGATGACATGAAATGTAGAGACTGTGGATGTTATTTCATCAAATCAAAGTTGAAGTTCTCTTTGTATATGCATAGTGACAGAGGTTTCTTTACTATACTTCAGTAAAATAAATGCATTCTGTTACTTTTCTAGAGCTCTTCACCTTAGTCATCAAAAGCCCTTTTCTTTCCTGCTGTAGCTTCACGTTAGCAACTTGGCCCAGCCCAGCATTGCTGGTTTGTGTATTTAATAACATTAGTGCTCCTTGATGAGAGGAAAGTGCTCTTATTCTGGGTGATTAGTGCAGTATTGCGTACATGGATCTTTTAATACAATTTTGCATTTTGTTTTAGGAAAATCAGAATGGTTCGAGCAGATTTGTACTTGAAGACATTTGCTTCAGACAGATCTCACATGAAGGATGCAAATGGGAAATGGCAGAAGCCTCCTCCTCCCTACCCTTGCATTGAAACTGCAGGTGAGCTCCCAGAACTCCTTCCTGCTTACAGTGCTGAATGAAGTAGTCCAGGATGCACATGGGAAATAAATAACTTCTATCACATTTGTCCAGCCAGCTTATCACTTCATATGGGAAAAATAGGGCTATGAAGCACTCTCTTTTGGCACTCTCTTTTTTGGACACATAATCCAACATGCCTTCTGGCATTTACTGGTGTCAAACATTAGTTACTGATATTCATAAACTGAGCAGAGAGTGAGGTAAGTAATACTGTTCCAGCAGGAACTGAAGCAGACAGGCCAAATAACTTGCTTAGGGATCACAAAATTTTTCACACAGTGATTATATCATACTGTAGCACACAGATCCCATTCTGGCAAAGTAGTGTTGGCAGGAGGAAGTTTTCACTCTGCTCAGTGTGGTGGGTTTGCCTGCACGAAATGTTTGAGGTTTCTGTATCAGGTGAATGGACCCCAGGATGTTTAAAGTCAATGGCAAGTTCTTCCTAAGCCTTAAGCCTCGTGTGATAGCCTCTGGGCCAGGCAGAGAGAGGTGGACTTGCATCCCATTCTGTAGAGCTGCTTAAAGCATTCTTATCACACAGCACTTCAGCTTGTTCTAATCATCTGTTTTGCAAGCTGAGTAACATTTGCCATGTGTGTGTTTGTTTGTACTCTCATTTTCTTCCAAGGAAAGCATGGTGGTGTTTTGCTTTGAAAGAGTTTTCATGTTACTGTTCTGCATGTTTGGTTTTGTTGATTTTTAATAATGCAGTACTGCTATGTGTTTAGGTTAGAGAAGGAAGGATCAGTAAAACATAGCTCTGTCTTCAGGTCCAAATGGTTTTAAGTTGCTGGGAAGTTAATTCTCAGCAAATTAATTAAGTAAAATAAATTAAAAGTAAATAAAGTAAAAATTTATAAATTTTTAAATATAATAAATTAATTAAGTCTTTGCTTTGGCTTCTAAGGAAGCTTGGTGTTTCACATGAGAGTAGAAATGAATTATGGGAGTGAGCAGGAACACAGATGTAGTTTTTTTATGAGACTTTAGATGTTTTCTAAACAATCCAGGTTATGAAGTGCCTTGAATTCTAACTCTTGGTTATTATTTTCAGCAGAGTTTTATGCACAAGTATTGTAGGGAGTGTAGGATTCCTGAACTACAGCGAATGGTTCTCTGTTAGCTGGAGCCTTGTAGGTGCTGAGAACTTTTTTGTCTGTGGAAACCTTGTTGTTTTGATAGCTGAGAGCTAATGAAAGTGTGAGGAACATAGATGAGGTCAGACCAGGAAAGCAAAAAATTTTTTTCAAATCAAAAGAGTAAAAAACCCATTACTTGTGGGTAGTAGGTTACATAATGCCTCAGTTGCAGATGTGTACATGTATCTGTAGCTGGAGTACCTGGCTCCATAGCTGCAGGCCCTGTAACTCTCCCCTTGCCTGTTGTGTCTGGCTGAGCTTTCCCTCACTGCTGAGCAGCAGCCACAGGCCTCAGGCAGCCTCCAGGTTCTCAGTGGGGCTGGTAGATAGTGAAGGATATGTAGCTCTTAGTTCCTCTTATGCATTCTTTGCTCTGTACCTTGGCATGCTGAATGAAATGTCCACAGGTCATCCAGTCCAACATCTGCCCAGAACAGGTGTTCCTCAGGGCTCTGTCCAGTCTGGTCTTGAACACCTCCAGAGATGGTGATTCCACCACTTTCTGGACAGTGTTCCAATGTTTGACCACTGTCATGGTAAACAAACAATGAATAAAAAATCCTAGTATATAATCTGAATTTCAGATGTTCCAACTTGGATTTTTCATTTCTTGACCTGTTGCCAGGCTGTTCCAAGAAGACTCTGGCTCCACTGTCCTACCTCTCATCAGGTAGATGTAGGCAGTAGTGATGCTCCCCTTCATCTTCTCTTTTTAAGACTGAAGAGTCCCAGTTCTCTGACCCTGTCCTTGAATAAATGTCCTGCACCAAACAACTTGAGTTTCCTCTTCTGGGCCTGCTCCAGTATGTCCATATTTTGGAGGGTTTTTTTGTGCTGAGGAGCTCCAAGTGGACACAGCATTGCAGCACTGTGGGAATGTGCTCTGCTCTCCTGGTCAGCTGGCTGAAAGAAACTTGTTACCCTGTACCCACTGAAGGTGAGAAGTCATTCTCTAGGGAGCTTCAAGGTCTGAGTCAGAGCAGGACTAGATTGTCTCAGATCTAGGATGTCCAGTTCAAGTTTTGGTTTGTTTAGTACCAGTTCCTCCAGCTTTCCTCTTTGTCTTTCCTTTGTATTCACTGAGGTACTTTGTAATGATGCATGCTTCAATGTGCACAGTGCTGTGAGTCTGAGAGGAGTCCAGCTGTAATGTCTCAGCACAGTTATCAGGCATAAAGCTGCCTTATTTTTAACTTGATGTGAAACTGGGTGGCAGACCTTTTGTTATCATAAAAGAGCCTGGGGTATTAATGTTCATGTCCATGCCAAATTCCATTGCAGATAACTTTTTTCTCCCTGCCGTTTCACTTTGATAGACCAGTCTGCTTTCCCTGTTGATTTGTGTTTGCATAAGATTAAATTACTTACATATTTCATGTTAGAGGTGACTGTAATATGATGGCTGACAGAAATGACGCCATATTGTTTAATACCAATTTATTTGTGAGGCACAGAGGGGGTTTGTTTTGGTTTTTGGGTTTGTTTTTGCTGTTATTTAGAATAACCAAATTCCTAAGCTTTTGAGAAGATGCAAGGTTTTTATATTCCTTCTGTTTTTCATATGTGTTCTTTGATGTTTGTGGCAGTTTGACCCTGCCTGGATGCCAGGTGCCCACCAGAGTTGCTCAGTCACTCTCACCCACAGCTGTACAGAGGAGAGAAAATGCAACGAAAACTCGTGAGTTAGGGATGGAGAGAGATCACTCACCAATTAACTGTCATGGGCAAAACAGACTCAACTTAGGGAAATTAGTTCAATTTATTACCAATCAAAATCAGAGCAGTATAATGAGGATCAAAACAAGTCCTAAAAACACCTTTCCTCCACCCCTCCCTCTTTACCAGTCTTAGCTTTATTCCCAATTCTCTACCTCCTCCCCCCCCTCAGTGGGGAATGGGGGTCACAGTTCATCACAGGTCGTTTCTGCTGCTGCTCAGGGACAGGAGTCCTTCCCTTGCTCCAGTGTGAGGTTCCTCTCATGCAGTTCTTCATGAACTTCTCCAGTGTGAGTCCATCCCATGATGCAGATCTTCATGAACTGCTCCAGTGTGGCTCCCTTTCCACAGGGTGCAGTCCTTCAGGATCAGCCTGTTCCTGCATGGATCCCCCACAGGGTCACAGTCCTGGCACCAAACCTGCTCCAGTGTGACTCCTCTCTCCACAGCTCTGCAGGTCCCTGTCAGCAGCCTGCTCCAGCATGGGCTTCCCACAGGGTCACAGCCTCCTTCCAGGCATCCACCTGCTCCAGCCTGAGGCTTCTCCCAATGCTGCAGGGGCACAGCTGCCTCACCATCATCTTCACCATGGGCTGCAGGGGAATACCTGCTCTGGTGCCTGGAGCACCTCCTGCCCCTTATCCTTCACTGACCTTGGTGTCTGCAGAGGTGTTTCACCACATATTCTCACTCCTCTCTGGCCACAATTACTTCTGTGCAATAGCTTTAAAAAAAATTCTTAAAGGAAGAGGTAGTACAACAGTGACTGATGGGTTCAGTCTTTGCCAGAGGTGGGTCCATCCTGGAGCTGGCTGGCAGTGGCTCTGTTGGACATGAGGGAGACTTCTAGAGGAGCCAGCCCTACAATCCTCCCTGCTACCAAAAACTCTTGGAATTGAATTGAGCAATCTTGATCATTAACAAATTAGGCATTTTTCTCCTACTAGTAACTCAAAGGGAATAAATCTTAAACTGTATTTGTCCTGCTCATAGGGTTGCAAAATAAATCATCAAAAATAAGCTTACATGGAGTCATAAATTCCAGTCTATGCCTAAAAAGTTTAAGCTGGTACAAGGTGATTTTTAAAAGCATTTTTCTAAAAGACAAACAACTCCAGTCCAACCAATAAAACAACAATAAAAAAACCAAGCCCTCAGATTCCTCAGTATCTCCTCAGAACTCACATGCTAGGCATTAGCCGCTTGGCTCTGGCTCTGCTCTAGCTGTTTCCCAGAGTTAGGCCTCTGTGCCTTTTACTGGCATTGCTGTGGCCTCTGTTCTGCTCTGCTGCCATGGATTGCAGGAGGGGCTGGCCAGCCTAACTGTCTGCACAGTCCTCAAAGCTGCTCTGCTGGAATAAACATACCTGAGCTGCAGAGCATTGCCCTGGTCCCACCTGTTTGCCACTGACCTCCTGTTGAAAGAAACAGGATATTTTGTTAAAATAATAAAAAGTGAGATTTAGTGAACAGAGTCATTATTCTAGAGCTGGTGAGCCCAACCTTTGGTTTTCTTTTAAATCTTCTTTCCACAAATTAATGAGGTCTGATTCTGTTTAGTTTATGACTTAGGATGAGATCAGCCCTCCTTACTGCAAGCCTCTGTAAAATGCAGCTTGCACAGTGCATTTCAAAATTACTCCAGACAGATGGTTGTGTGGCTTATGTGCAAGTGTTAGCAGCAGCTCTAACACTGAAAAGCACTGGTTTGAATTTCAGTTCTCCCAAGGTGTTCAGTAACACACTTGCTGGATTGATTTGTAAAAGCTTTTTGTTCTTTTTATTATTAATAAAATCCCTGGTAGTCAATAATAATGGGGTTTTACTTGGATTTTTTTTTAAATTTATTTTGAAGAGCATGAATAGGACAGCTGAGAAATTCTGGAGACGCTGTGTATCAAACATATCTGTAACAGGAAATCTCTCAGACAGACCCAGCAGATGTCTGCAGTTGCTCTGTATCTCCTCTCTGAAGTGGCAGCAGGATCCTAGTGAGAGTGAAAAGGCACTGATAGGGATACAAGCAGCTCCTATGCACTCCATGGGAACCTTCTGCTGCTCTCATGTGAGAATAAAACTCCAGTCTGTAAAGTTAGGTCCTTACTTCATAAGCTTTTGTGGAAGCAATGAATCAAGTCAGATAGATACAATAAAGACACAACTAAGAAGCATGTTAATAACCAGAGTGGCTTGTTGAAGTTACACCACTTTCTATAAAATACAGTTTAAAGTGGTGAGCTGTGTTTTACGTTGAGATGGTTTGCACAGTCAGTTTTATCTCAGGGGTGGAGACAGCAGCCTCCCAGCTGAGAGTGGGAAGAGTCCTGACTTATCTCCCTGCTCAGACGAGGGAGGAGATCTGAGGAGAGCTGTAAACACCTCCACAAGTCTGTGACGAGTCCAACTTTCGTTTAGTTGCCCCCAAGGTTTTCAGCATTAGCAGAACTGATCTTGGAGGTTTTGTTCCAGAGTTCCCTGCTTCCAGCAGCCCTTGGGCAGCTGTGGTTACACTGAGATAGTCCAAGGTCTGTGAGCCAAGCTCAGGCTTGGCTTAAACATTGCTTTCTAACTACTGTTGGCAGAAGCCACAAGTATCATGGCTAACAATGCCTGAGATAGTGAGTGGCCTTTTATTTCATCCCTGCTTGGGGTAAAAGTGGCAGACTTGATTTAAACAAAAAAAAAGTTATGTAGGAATCCCAGAATGGGCCAGATAGGTCTCATTTGTGGGGGGTGTGTAAGAAAGTTTGGTCAAAGAGGAAGATGAGCTGTAGGCATTGTACAAATGCAAGCTAGTATAACAGTCACAGCACCTGAGGGGGCCTGCAAGGGTGATGTAAATCTTAAAATAATTCTGCTGCTATTGGTCTTGTAAAAATGTTGTAGGATACATGCTCTGTGATTTTGTGCAGAGATCATCTCCATCTTGGTTTGCCAGCTGTAGCATCCAGGTGTATCTTTTTAAAATTCTGATGGTTGTCACTCTTACCTGCTTCGGGAAGAGGACTTTGTGGTATTCTCATGCATTTTTGCCGAGCTGTTTCCTAACGCTGTAAGGCCTAACACGGCACGCACGCGTTCAGATAGGAAAGAGCAGCGGAGAGGGGCTGTTATTGCACGGATCAAACGGGAGAGGTCTCACTACGGTTTTCCCTACGGATACCTCCCGTGCTGCTCCAGTGCCATCTACCGACAGCTTCTTAGGCCGTCGCTCTTCACAGGAATGGACTTGTTTGCTTTGGTAAAACAATCTGCCACAATCCTTCCGAAGTTAGAGAAAATTTCATTTCCTGCAGGCGTTGCGGCAGCAACTTCCAAGTTGCAAACAGCAGCTGTGTTTGTAACTACTGGAACAATCTCCTTTGGACTGCTTTCCAATTCTCAGAATTGTTTTATGAATTATTTTAGTATGCTCAATGCACATAAAGCAGAGATTTATTTATTTATTTAATCTTAATGTATATGAAGAATCACATTAGTTTTGAAAAAGCATCTGGGAGGAAAAGAGCAGCTTGAAACTGGAAAACAGATTTAACAGATTTAACGGTGGGTAACAGATTTAACAGTGGATAACAGCTCCAGCAAGCAAGAGCTGTTACCCACTACTAATTTGTTCTTGAGCTATGACAGCAAATTGCTGAGCTTGTGCTATTTTAAATTCCCACACAGGCAGAAATGATCCCTGTTCTGCCAGACTCACTTCAGCAGTAGAGGCATGCTTGGCTGGACATAAGGAATTTCTGTATACAGAGTTCAAACAGGTTAACAAGAAAAGATTTAGGGGCCAGACCTCAGAAAGGGTGAGAGTTGGGGTTAGGCAAATCACAAAGCTGTGCTGTTGAGTAGATGTGGTGCAAACAGAGGCCTTCAGGGGCTGGATTGTGCCTGGCACTCCTGGGTCTGGGGTTCCTGAATCATCTTCCTTTCCTTGCTTACACTGTCCATAATGGTAAGCCTAGTTACACAAACATTTTGCAGCTGAAGCAAATTCCATCCTTTGGATTTTATAATCTATTCATTAGAGCCTCCTCTTGTTTGATTCTTAATCCTTAAATGCACACATGAATCATCCCTGGTAAAGTTAATACTTAATAAAGAGGAAGAGCTGTTAACAGTAAATCTGTGAAGTAAAACTGTAACAGTGGCTTTACCACTCTGTTCCTTAAACTCATTCTCAGCCAGTTTTCTTTAATGGTCATTTTAAAAGATCATTGGTAAGAAGTCAAAACAACAAGCCCACAGATGTTTGTCATCAGAACTGAACCTCTGATCAGCACGGTTCTGAGTCAGCAAAGCTTGTACCAAGCCAGCTCTGGAAAAAGGAAGTATAAGGCACCTAAACCCAAAACTGCACACCAGCACCTTTCCAGTGAGCTCTCTGGGATCCATGAATGGGACAGAATGATTTCCACCCCTCCTGCAGGAAACAGAGCAAATTAAATCCTGGCAAAGAGCAGTCATGGTTACTTTTCTCTTGAATCCATGCCAGTTAAACTTTTCCCCTGACTTAATTCTGTCATTCAGGATTCACAAAAAATAAGTATTTGCCCCCAGCCTAGTTTGTGCTCCTCTTCACCTGAGCATCCCTCTAGGCTGGCACTGGGTTGGGTCACACATCTCCTCCCCTCTGCATATTGTGGCCCTGCAGTGAGCCTGAGTTCAGTGAGGAAAAAGTTCAGGGCTGGAGGGAACACAACTACTGTAATCTGGAGAGTAACAAACTGCAGCTTTGCCAAGGGGCCAGTCACTTCTGAGAGACAACTTGCAGTTCTGCCTGCTGCTGTGAGCCTGTTCCTCTGTGCAAAAGGTGACTCCACTGACTTTGGTTCAGAGCTTAAATGGGTGAATAATATCTCCCCTGCTTTTGAGTTAACCCATTTGTGTGAATGCAGGAAGACTGCATTGCCCTTCCCTGTGTTGGTTGTTGTTTGCACTCCAGTTCTCTGACACTACTCAACCCTTCTAGGCTGCTGCTGTAGGGAAAAACCTTACCCACACATGCTAGTTTGTAGTGCTGGCTGCTTTCTGATCCTGTAATGTGATTGTTGCCTTGGGCAGAGAGGGGAATGGGGGCAAAAGTGATGTTTCAGAGACTGGAAATTGATGTTTCTGTACCACCATACCATTTGCAGAATCTTGCTGGAGTGAACAAGCTGTTGAAGAGGGGTTTGGAATGTTTTCTTGAAAGATGTATACCTGTGCTACAGAACCTGCATCTGGAACTCAGATATTTCCATTTTCTGGTCCTTTTTCAGATTCCAAGATGAACTTGGATGATTTCATCAGTATGAATCCCGAAGTGGGATGGGGCTCAGTGTTCTCCCTTTCAGACTTTGTGCATCGATTTGGCAGTCAGACTGATTACAGCTATGCTTTGGAAGGACAGTGAAGTGAGCAGAGTTCCTCTGGCTCTGAGTGGATGTGTTTTGTTTTGCTGCTCTTACATTGTATTTATGGTTTACATTTCTGTACATGCAATAGGTATTTGGAAAAATGGAACACCCAGAGAGAAATGTCATTAACTGAATAAAAATCTTTATTTTAATTATGTAAGAATGCACTTGGTTTTGAATGTCAAATCAAAGGCAGACATGCCACCATAAGCATATTGCTTTTCCAGCTACTGTGCCTAAACTGAAAAGAGCTGCAAAAAAAGCTTTTGGAAAAATATGTGCATAAAATACTGAATATTGTAGCCTAAATTGCTACAAGTTGTCACATTTTAAAAGTGGGATATGGTTTTTCTTCATGTTGTGATTGCTGTCAATCATATGTAAACAGACAGTACATCTCAGTTTCCTCACTAGCTTTACTGATTAGTCCTTGTTTAGCAGAAGTGTAAAGGGAAAATTGATTTAGTAGTTCAGTTGTGAACTCCCATGCACTGTGTAAAACCAGGTGAGCATCCAGGTTTGTGTGCTGCACCAGGGGAGAATTAAATCCTGCCATTTCAGTGAAGTGTTCTAGTGCTGACAGTTCCTGGAAGATGCAGTTGCTATTTTTGCTTGTCATGCTGGCTGTGCATTCTCACCTGCTCCCATCTTCTTGCACTTGGTGTTTGTTTGGCCTTGTGATAATTCAGGGTAGTTCTGACAGAAAGAAGGAAGTTTTGTTGAGGTTTTTTTTTTTTTTGCTTCTTAGTTCCTTGAGCTGGCCTGCCTTGAGGTCAGACAGCTGCTCGTGCTGGTGTAAGGAAATCAGCAGGGCCATATGGCTGGGGGGAAGGGAGTGAGAAAGCTCCCTGTTCAGGGCTGCCTGCTGCTGAATATCCTCAGAGGTGATGCCAAGCTGCATCCCTGCAGGGCATCCCAGGAAAGCCTCGTGCTGGCTGAGGGCTTGCAGCAGTCTCACACTTCTTAGTGTGGAATTGCAGAAACAGGCTAAAATGAGGTCTTTAATTCTCAGCTCTGGACTTGTTCTACTTTATACCCTAGCACATCACAGGCTCACAGACTGGTAGAAGAACACAGGTTAGAAGGGTCAGGCAGTCCCTGGTCCAATGAGATCAGACCAGGCTGCTCAGGGCTTTAGCCAGTCAGGCCTTGGAAACCTGCTGGGATTGAGACTATAATAAACATTTGTGATATATTTCATTCCTGTGAAGAAAAGCACAGTAAAGATTTTAAGTATTAAGGGGTCATTTTATTTGTAAGTAAAGAAAAATATCAAAACTTGTAAGAATCTTGTATGTGTTACCCAGGTTTATTGTTACATACATAGTGTATTACTGTATCTCTCATCAGTTCTAGAGAATTTACTCAGCATAGTAACAGCAGAGACAGCCACTTGAACAACTGTGGGATTGATTCACTTCCTGCAGACATCTCTTTCCATATCATGAGGGCTGCTGAATACAGGAGCTTCAACTTTCTGTTGCCAGATGCAGCACAGTTGGTTGCCTGTGCAGACAGGCTGCTACTACACATATTCCTTGAGACCAGCATGGACTGGTGGGGAGGCCAGTTGTAGGGACACTCCCCTCTGGAGTGGGACAGTTCTTCTGCAGTTTCTGTCACTCTGATCAGTGTCACCAGAAGAAACTGAGATGAAACTTGGGATTCCTGATAAACTGATGCACAAACCCTCCCAAGAGGGGACAGCTGGATTTAACCAGATGCTCACTCCTGTGTAAAAGGTCTGATGTGTCCATGTTTGGATGAAATGGCAGCTCTTGATGCTGATATAGCAGGCACACTGGGGTATGCAGATGATGGTGCTGATGGTTCTGAGTGATGTTCAGGCCGGCTGTGGCAGTGCAGAGCAGCAGCAGTTTGCCTGCTCAGCTCCTGTAGCTGCCAGGGCACTGGCTTAGACACAGCAGAGGTGGGAATGCCAAGATCCTCGTTGCAGTTATATAAATGGGTTGTGTTAAGCACTTCTTACCCTTTGAGTGGCTGAGTGTCACAGACACAGAGTTCCTGTGCATTGCTCAACAGGCCCTTTAAGTTGTTACAGAACATGAGGTTCTCATCCCTCCCTACTTGAGTATGTCATTTGATTTAACCTCAGCTGGTTTCCGGTGCGTGAAATCTGTGACACACTCCCTTTAGTGGGGGTCAAGACACCAGAGCCTGCCTGGTTTAATCTAGTTTCAGCATCAAGGCTGTAAAGAAGAACAGTCACAACCATTATTCAGACTATGCAAGTTTAAAAAAAAACCCAACATGAAGAGTTAGTCCTTTTTCTCTGTAATCATTCTGAACAGGTGCTTAATTTTACATGTAGCAGGCTGGGTGTGTGTGATTATAGCTTTTCTATAATTAACCACCTTTGTGTGGCTCTTGTAAAAAGTTGTCATTCCAGAGGGATCAGTAGAAGCCAGAGAATTATTTAACTCAGTGCTGAGGATGGTGATAGTGTGGTGCTGTCTCTCTAGCTCATCAAGTGTGGGGACATTTAATCTCCTTTCAGGTGGGCATGATATCAGAAGGAAAGAATTCAGGAATATATCAAGTGCTCATTTAGAGCCCAAAAGACAAAGAAAAGCTACTCACTTCACTGTAGTTATCAGAAACCATCTCTTTTCTGGTGCTGATTAGTCCTAGTGTCCCATCACAGGGACTAAGTGACTTCCCTCCCCTCTTTGGTCCTTTCTCAGGTAACCCTGACTGGAGTTAGTCAAATAGTTCTGATTATTTTGTGGAACTTGCTGTGTTTAACTTCTCCTATCAACCCATATTTGATGCATGAGGTGGCCCCACCAGTGTGGTTTCCCCACTGAACACCACAGTAAGTTGCAGACAGAAAAGCAAAGTTTGCTGAGAGCCACTTTGCCATGTACCTGCAGAAGAACAAGCAAAGACCTTCCACTGTAAATCTGATGGCAAGGAGGCAGCTTCACTGCCAGACATCCCTAATTGTCAGCTCTGTGACCAGTGGTGTATTCAAACACCTGAGATTCAAACAAGTTCACCCCGCAGTGCTAGGTTCCTGTGTGGGGTACACTGTATGGCAGAGCACAGCTGCTGCTCCTCAGGTGAGCTCCAGGCTGGCCAGTGCAGCCCCCCAGCTGAGGGGGTGCTGAGGGAGAGCCTCACTCCTTGGTGCGGGGGAACTGGGCTCATGCCACTGGGAGCTATCAGGGAATCACAGGAAAGCACTGATGGCTGATTGCCTGGGGTGCCCTGGCACAACAGGGCCAGCCTCTGCTCACTTACACTCCATGCTGTCCATAGCCCTTGAGACTCTGGATCTTTACTGTGTCAGATGCTTTCCCACTGTGTCCAGGATCAGGATGTGCTGCTTATGCACTTTCAGTACAATGATGTCCTAGTGTATCTTAGCTCCCCATTCCCTTTCAGCCTTCTTTACCTTGTCCTTTTTCATGTGATGTCTTTCTTTTGTCCAGTTATTACAGGTTTTGTGAGCTTAGAGACCCTAAGTGGTTGCTTTTTGGACTAGGTGATCCTTGAGTAAGGCTTTGAAGAAAGCAAGGGGAAACCCTCCTGCTCTCAGGTCAGTTACTCACAATCCCATGGTCTCCCAGCTTTTGTTGGTCACTGGAAATTCTCCAAGCCTTTATTTCTAGACATCATAGGGAGAGACTGTGATAGCCTTATAATGGGGGCATATCCCATCTCACAGGTGGTTCCTCCCATCTCCAGCAGACTATTGCAGCAGCACAAGATGGAACACCCACATCTCTCCTGCCTTTTTCTCTTCTTTGCTGCTGCTTTCTACCTAAGAATATAGTTTATTTGATAAATAACCTCTTTTATTCAGCTGTTTGTGACTTTTAGAGAAATAGGCACTTTTTTCTGACACGCATTTGTTTGGTCAGTGCATTTTGCAAACTTGTATGTGACCAGGTCTGCCTTGAGAAAATCCCATTTCTTGGTTGGCCAGCAGAGAGAGCAGTCAGCATTCAGTGGAAGTGCAGGTTGGGACAGGGACAGAGGTGGTCCCCTGCACACTGAGCCCTGCCAGTAGCTGTTACAGTTACAATTGAGTCACTCTGACAGCATTGCAGAGGGGATCTGTACCTTGCAAGGTTCTGGCTGAAGGCTGAGGTACTGCCCTCGACTGCCTGAGCCTGCCATGGCAGTGCAAGCCCATCCTGCACACCAGGGGCTATGTGGCAGCAGTGTCTCACCATGTGCCAGTTTGAGGGACCTGGCCAGCACATCCCCCAGATATATCTGGTCACAGTTCCTACCAAAACACCTGTGACACCTTAGGGTGTCAGAGCAATTGGTTTGCTATCAGTTTATATTTAGATACCTGGGGATGCTGCAATCTGATCTGGGCTATTCAGGAAGAAAAGGGGCCAGGGGGTGCATTTGTATGAATCAAATTCCAGGATGAGAGCCTTGGTCAGAGCATTTTGACATGTGTGGCCTCTTCATACTCTCATTGTCCAGCCAGAGCCCTGTGCATGCTCTGAAGCACCATTGCTCTTCAAGCTTCCACTGTAAAATGGCCATCTCTGGTTGGTCAGGTTTTCCTTGTTAGAACGACTTTGATCCAAATTTTCTCATTTTTCACATTTCTTTCCCCTACCTTTTTAGGAAACAAGGATTGTAGACTAAATGACTTGAGAAAGCTGTACCAGGGAGTAAGAATGAGGTGTGAAAATACCACCATGTCCCTTCAGTAGCCCCAGTTACCTTGCACTGGGTGCCTTGCAGAACTGACACACTGTCCCTGACCCAGGTGGTGGCTGTCCCACACACCTGGCATGAGCCACTCTGCTGGAGGGAGGACCTGCAGAGCTGCACTTCACGTGTCACACAGCAGAGCAGATGGCTCCAGCTTTGCTGGGCTTGCCCTCCTATGACACTTAGGAATCTCAGGCTTGGAGAATCTCATCTCCTCTCGAGGAGGAACATCTGTCTCTCTTCAGGTAATTACCTTCTCAGAAACTTGAGGGAGAGAGTGCTGGGGATTTTCTTCTGCCTTCTGGCTTCCTCCTCCTGCAGCACTTGGCCCAGTAGAGGGCAAGGTTAGTGGAGCACACCCAAGGAGGGAGTGTCTGGAGACATCTGCCCAGGTTTGTGCACACTTCCTTGTGGAGCTCACCTCTTTTCCTTTATGATCATGGAGTCAGAA